ACACACACACACACACACACACACACACACACACACACACACACACACACACACACACACACACACACACACACACACTGATTGATTGAATTGAGAGAAAAAGATGCAAAATTAGTATCATGTTTTGCAACCACAGCTTCATTCCTGAAAAATACACGAAGAAGTACTCAATCCACCATTAAAACCATAGAAGCAAAGTTCGATTTCAGACTCAAAGAACTTCTAAGAGTCCAGAACTGTTCTAAATTCAAGTTTTATATAGCACAACCCCATGCATGAATAAGATGGGAGAAAATACTAGGCGCCACGATGTAATTTTTATTCACCATGGCAACCCGGTGCTCGGGATTTGTCGAGGCCTGTCATAGTATAATAGGTGATAAAGAAAGACTTGTAAATAATTATCAGTGTTATTGTGACAGTAACTTTTGATCAGAGTAAGCTACGCTCTTAGATGTCATACAAATCAGCAATCAGTAGATCACACTTTGTCAGCAGAAGAAATTATCTACTGTTGTAAAAGTCTTTATTATAGAAAAAGTTGGAAATTTTCTGAGAAGAAACCAAGTACTTGTATAGTAAAAACATGTTTAATTTTTTTTTTCATAGTTTAAGCCTATCTTCTTGGGTGTTGTGGATCCAAATAGTGATTCTGCCAAATACAAACGAGTGGTTGACACACAGAAATGCATCAGAGCAGGAGGTAAACATAATGATTTAGATGATGTAGGGAAGGATGTCTATCACCACACCTTTTTTGAGATGTTAGGGAATTGGTCATTTGGAGATTTTTTCAAGGTAAGTGTATTGCACTTTTCATATGGAGACTTTTTCAAAGAAATGTTGATTCATGTGTAAATGTGAACTGATTTTAAAATGTGTAAGAAATTGTATCTTGTGGTTTTGAATTTAATGTTTTCTGCTTGATCAGTACATAGAAATATATTATAATAATAATACTCAGTTTCAGTCTGCCCTGAAAATGTTCTTACATCTTACTATTTAGATGCAACTGTGCATGCACTTCATTTAAACAGATGTAAACAAAAGGCAGATGTAAATATACTTTCAAACAGATGTAAACAAAAAGCAGATGTAAACAAAAGGTAGATGTAAATATACTTTAAACAGATGTAAACAAAAGGCAGATGTAAATATACTTTAAATGGATGTAAACAAAAGGTAGATGTAAATATACTTTAAATGGATGTAAACAAAAGGCAGATGTAAATATGCTTTAGTACAGTGATTCTCAAACGTTTCAGGCTCCTTTTTAAAATTACAAACCCAGATCTAATTTTTAAAAAAAGAAAAAACAAACAAACCTAGTAACAAAAATTCATATTTTTAACACTTACCCATTAATGTGAAGGATGTGATTGTTTTTTCTGGCATGATTGAAGAATATTTGGTACCATTTTTGTCAATTTTAAGGGAAGTAAATACTTGTAAGTCTATGTAAGTAGAGGGTAAGTCTATAAGTGAGGAGAGTAGTATGTAAATGTACGTGGAAAGCTCAGGTGGGGCTTATTACAAATTTTATGATTTTTTGTGTTAATTGTGTTGTGTAGCACGGACATTAGCTCCACGTACCACTAGTGGAATGCGTACCACAGTTTGAGAATCTCTGCTTTAGTAGACATTTTGTACAACAACGTATTATTAATAAAGGCTTAACTAATGTTAGGCTTAAGACAAGTGGACTTGTACATTTTGGTATCTGAGATTATAGTTCTTTTGTATTTTTCTACAAATCCTGTATTTAATAAAGGACTGTTCCAATAAAGATACTAATTTGACTATAAATGTTTTGTGGATCTCTGCTAGTTTTTACATAAAAGTAGCTTCCAATTTTATTTAGGATTCAAAAGTCTTGAAAATCTTGGTATTAAAACTAAATATCCTTAAATATTTTTGTTTTATTATTTAGTCGAAAAATGGCATAAATCCTTTCCAAAGATGTTAAAGATAGCTCATAAATATATGTGTGTGTGTGTGTGCATTATTGACTATTATCTAGACTTCTATGATATGATACTTATGTTTGTTTCGTGTGACTAGGAAAATTAGGGCTTTCAAATAAAAAAGAACGTCAATCTGACTTAGATAATATAGCATGATCTGGAAAAAACCACAAAGTTCTTGTTTAGAAGTTTATAAAGTATCTTGAATTACATTGTAAAGTTTTTTTTTTTTCAACTTTAACACTGAAAAATCTGTACAAAGGAGATACTTAAATGGTCGTACTGATGTAACTGTCCAATGAAAAGATGAAAACCTCTTAATTTTTGTTTGGAAATTTAATAAATGTTTTAAAATTTCTAGTAGTGCTGTAATTAATTAATTTTTTTTTTACCTTATGGCAGCGAGAAATCTGTAATTGGTCATGGGAGCTACTAACGAAAGTGTACAAACTGCCCAAAGATAGGATGTATGTGACATATTTTGGTGGAGCTCCTGAATATGGACTTGAACCTGATTTTGAGTGTCGTGACATCTGGAAGGAAGTTGGGTTAGTGGAAAGACTAATAGTGCTAATATCAAAATAAAATAATGCTAATAAGTTACTATCGAAACTTAAACTTTGCTATATAATGTTAGTTGTTTTCAAGTGTCATAGCTAAACTAAGGAGTTTCAAAACATTTAAACAGAAAAGTTCGAAAAACAAAGTAAAAATAAATTGACTAATTTTTTTTTTTAAGAACACGAGTGAACATTTGAGTTTACTTCTTCAGAATTAGTTTGAAAATTTTTATCATTGGAAAAAAAAATGAATGAACTAACAGACTATATTCTAATCCTTTAAACACTGTTTATATGACAACAAACATTATTTTATGATGGTCTGGGTAATTAAATATGATGTTTCATAAAAACTAATGGGACATAAAGACTAATTTATCTTTTTTATGATCCTGGTAATTCTGTGATTAATTTCGTTGTTACACATTTCTCTTCTTAAGTCGTGGGCGGAATATGACGTCAGATATCAAAGTTAACCTTTGTTTTCCACCTCTTCAAATGTTTCATTCAGATCATTACAGGTTTAGTAAACATTTCACTTGTGGAAAAAATTTATAATTGTTTTATTATCTCACTGAAGCTGATACAGAAACTTTAATAATTACAGAGATATGACAATCAGTTTACAAAACCTAAACAACTACCATTACCATTAAACCTTAGCTCCATTACAGATATATGACAATCAGTTTACAAAACCTAAACAACTACCATTACCATTAAACCTTAGCTCCATTACAGAGATATGACAATCAGTTTACAAAACCTAAACAACTACCATTACCATTAAACCTTAGCTCCATTACAGAGATATGACAATCAGTTTACAAAACCTAACCAACGACTATAACCATTGCTGAACTTTTGTTTGTAAGTAAAAACGTTTTTGCCATGATTTAAATAAATGATTTGGTTGTGTATAAATCATTGATTCTTTAGCCAAACACATTGTTTTATACATCAGCTTTGTAAGCAAATGCAGACATTGGATTTTTTTGAATTTTAAATTAATTAACTTGACTTCTGGGAGAATACACAAAACATGTGCACAATGTTAATTTTTAATATATTTATTAAATGTTTTAGTGTTATTATTACACATTAGATAATCTTGTGGAGTTAAAATGTGCATACGTTTGTTTGTTTTTTCTTTTAACTAGATTGCCAGATGATCGTATTCTTCCATTTGGAATGAAAGATAACTTTTGGGAGATGGGTGAAACTGGTCCTTGTGGACCTTGTTCAGAAATCCATTATGATCGCATCGGGGATAGAGATGCTAAGCATTTAGTAAATGCTGATGTTCCAGATGTCCTGGAAATTTGGAACCTAGTGTTTATCCAGTTTAACAGGTTGGTATGATTCAGTTTGTCAATAAAAGATTGTAATGCTTGTTGGTCCATTAAATTCTGACTTGGTAGATTAACTTGTTTATTAATTAAGGCTGTAGTAACTGTCTGACTTGGTAGATTAACTTGTTTATTAATTAAGGCTGTAGTAACTGTCTGACTTGGTAGATTAACTTGTTTATTAATTAAGGCTGTAGTAACTGTCTGAC